AAAAAAAAAAAAAAAAAAAAGAAGAAAAAATAAGAAAAGAAAGATGATTAATAGAAGAAGGAAAACCGAATATTGAGAAATAAAGCATTTTGTTTTCTTTTAAAGGTTTGTGCATCTAGACTTGACCCAGATTATTTTATTTCATCCGTCTTTGAAAGGTAGGCATAATTTTATTCAGACACGTATTAGGAAGTGTCCAGTTCATTTTGTTTTAATTTATAAAAATATGTTTCAAATATTTCTTCTTGTAGATTTAAGGTAGTGGATTTGTTGACAATGGCATCACAACATCAAAATACAGTACTTGATGCAGAGCATGAGAGGTCGATGTTAGAAGGCGCTCTTACATTTCTTGTGATTCTTTTGAGTCTTCGTTTACATTTAGGTAAAACTCACTGATACTAATACTTAGGTATTAACTGTTTTCCTCCCTTCCTCCCCCTCTCTGTGATAGTAACTGGCTTAGGGAAAACAGGAAAGGATGTTGATAAATTTAAACAATGTTTCAAGCTCTTGGTATGTTGTACTATATATCTTTTAGAATATCTTTAAAATATCCTTTGCTTAAGGGAACTGCAAAGAGCAGTTAAACTGCAGTTATATTTGGGGCATTCCTTCTTTACTCTTTAACTTGAAGCATCCTATGTTTGGTAAAAGAGCTTAATAAAATGTGTGGTAAGTTGTTTTCTTTATAATTTATGTATACTCAGATTTGTTAATTCTGTTTTTAATAATTTTAGGAATGTCTGATGATGAGATTCTCAGGGCAGAGATGGTAGCCCAGCTGTGTATGAATGACAGGACACACAGTTCATTGCTGGACCTCATATCCTTCAAGTTTCTGTTAGTTGCAGGATCTAAAATAAGTAATTGTTATGATTAAAGGTTTATCAAATTTTTCATTTTTTTTTCAAAGTTGAAAAATAATATAGGAAAAGAAGAACACAAGCTGTTTGCTCAAGTAAAGTATGTATTCAGGGCAGGTGACTTTTTTTTTTTTCTTTTTTTTGTTGTGTACTTATATGCATTTATTTTTTTTAATTTTAATTTTTTATCCCATTTATTTTATTGCATTTTAGGTTTTGGGGTACATGTGAAGAACATGCAAAATTGTTGCATAGGTACACACGTGGCAGTGTGATTTGCTGCCTTCCTCCCCATCACCTAC